AGAAAGTAAAATCGCCCTGCATAGCACAAAAAATGAACGAAATTGTCTCGTTGGTAGCGCATGGTGGAAGACAGGTCATCCGGACCATTGTTCTCCACGTGATGATGCTTAACATGGTGGTAGTAGTAGGAATTCCAGCTGTGTCCCATAAGTGGATCTGTGATATAGGGGAAGGCGGCATCCAAAACAGCATAACGCTTGCTAAGGATACCGCCAAGGTGTATATGCTGATGCATCATGAGAGTATATGTGCCCATGTACGTCGCCTGCATGGCCAAGTGTAGCAGTCCATGTACGCAGGAGAAATTCCAATAGAGGAAAGCAGCGCTCGGCACGGAGGTACAGAAGTAGAGCAGTAGATGCACGATCATCACCACATCCGTTTCGACGCGAAGCACAGAGCGCGCTACGCGAACTAAGGGTCGTAAGAGCCACGTTTCCAAAATACCAGGCAGTTGTAGATTGTGCACCTCGGTACTAGTGAAGATAGTCGGGTCGAATCGCGCGCCAGCCGGGTCGTTGAGTGCCTTGAGCGTCGCCAATGTAGCTGCGTCTCGCCTCCGAGCTGCCTGTCCTGTTAACAAGACTTATCCTGACATCCATATGCTTCTTTTTACGCTCGCGCAGCGCCGCCAGTCGCTTTAGTAGACGGTTGGTTACTTCCTAACTTACCTTTACCCGGTTGTTTCTGCCCTTCATTCCCCCTCCTCCGTCGGTAGTCCCGAACGTCAGCCGCAAGATTCTGGAGCACGAGGCGGTCTTGCCTCGTGAGGCCTTTGTCGAACAAGATGCCGGACATTGTTGGCTAGATCTCTGCCGATTTAAGTCAGACGCAAACAGTCTGCGTCCCGGAAAGTATGTATGCGACTATCGCAAGAGTGAAGACTCCAGTAGTGCAAAGGCTTGTGAATGACGGCTCAGACAGTACGGCGCTGTAAGGCATACTGCGGCTTCATACGGTACTGTACCCAACGGGCGACGCGCCCATGATTAGCCATAGAACACGTCCAGAGGAGTAGGTAGGAAGCAGCTCTGTGGGAGACAGTGGTCAACGCCACTAGCGCCACACCACTTCACGTCGCATAACACCAAGGTACCCGCCTTCCCGGCCCGCGCAATTGCCCCACACCACCACAACTGTCAGCCACTATGTTCCCCACCCTCGCCTACTGTACTATACTATACTATACTATTGTACAATACAGTACGGTACAACTCGCTGGCTTCCTAAGCCTATGAAAAGAGCCAGAATTATCTTTGCCGCCGTAGCGCAGTAGAAGCCGCTCCAGTAGGGTACAGGACCGCTACTCAGCCTCTCATCAGCCCCGTCTGTTCCCGACATTGTCTCCTACAGACTAAATAGTGCGGGACTGTCAGGTTCAAATCTGCGCACGCACTCTCGATACGACATACCCCATTATCCGGATACGAACTTGACGGAACCCGACTGTTCCTTCCGCTGTCAGTGTTCTTGGCGTACTTCAAACAACCTTCGGTCTCGGGTTACTGTGCGGCGTGGAGACTTCTGACTTGCCAGCCGCCACTGCTATGTCCTCAAACCAACTTAGCCCGAGTAGAGCCACAGGTAGCATTACTTGCGAGTCAGACCGCGCCATTCGCAAAGACGGCCTAGATGGCGCCAGTGCTGCCGAAGATACTGTCGCAGAGCCTAGTGTCGACGAGACAGACTACTATGACGCCGTTGAATACGCACCTCCGGCGCCATGGCAAGAAGCACACGATGCACTGCAGCAACAAATCGCCCTCGACAACAGGCAGAGCGACTCGAAAGATAGCATGCCACAAAATGTATTTGCAGACATCGGGCTGAATGATGATTCATGGATTCAAAGCGTATTACCGCCAGGTGTTTATGCTACATCCATGAATTTTGCATCGAGTCTGGATGGAGGGATGATGACGCCGCAACAGAGACGACAACATTTCGCTGCTCTGTATCGGCAGCGGCTTCAACTCATGCAGCGCCACCAGGCCCGTGAAATGAGCCAACAGATACGAGCTCAACTGCAGGCAATGGCACGAAGGGTGTGCACGGCATATCACAGTGACGCCAGTTTGCCGAGTTCCATGGCATCGCAGGCTGTGTGTAGTGGGCGGAGTTCAGCAAGGGGCCTGGAACATAACGCAAGTCCGTCAGATTTCCCAACCATTAAAATATGCTCGCTAATATATTTGCTTCTACAGCTACGTACCGACGAATCTGGCTTTGGGCACGCCACATCTGACCTCGGGGTTGAACTTTGAGTGGCGATATCGTAATACTGTATAAGTAGAGACGAGACTGTTGGACACTCTGTGTTCAATGGCAGACCGACTGACCTACTCGGACCTTGGAGACGTGCTGCAACGGTCGAGTCACTGCGCGGTGGAGGCCGTCGCATTTTACCCGGGACGTCCCGCAGTTCTCTTTCTGTTGCGCGACGAATACTCTGCTGTAAGAAGGCCTCCAGGCATCGCATTTGCAGTTCTCCAGACTCGGGTGCTCTAATATGAACCCGTCTGACGAGCATCATGCTGTGCTAAGACATGTTGTCGGGAGTCACGTGATACAACCTCGAACTTTGAACTTTGACGACAGTGATCGCTACCCAGAGATGAGATGCTTGCAGGCCGCAGCAATGAATTTTGTCCACCAGGATACTGAGTAGAACTTCGCAGGTCAAACCTGGTACGCCTCGTCCGAGTCCAAGGAGCCACCCTACCCTTCTTTATGGGGGCAACGGCGTGGAGGTGTAGTTCCT